TAATCATTAAGATCCATTAATCCAAAATCTCTAATTAATTAACAACTCGAGAATCCATCTAATGGACCCTTTACTAAAAATCCCCATTGTAAATGAAACAACTGAAATAAAAATCCAAAGCTGATAAGTAAGTAATCCTACGTAGTTGGTAGAATAGAAGTCGCTATCTGCTCTGCACGACCAAGCTCTAACCCTGGAACTGACGAGCACTTAAAAAATAAAAAAGTGGGTCAGGCCCACATGCAAGTCCTGATCTACTACGATCCAAACAGGAATCCGATAAGCAGATACATCTTAGATAGACTCAAAAATATCTAGAGTAGTCCATATATGTATATATTACACACTATAGGACGCTCACTAGTCCAATATGTCTGTCTCAACCTGAGTAAAGATACTATGCAAATTGCACATTACGTGGTCATGTGTACCTAAACCTACCAGGGAACAACACCTCTGTCCAGCTATCCATCCTAGGTGATATACGCACCCTAACCATGGTCATGAGACTCAAGCTCATACCATGACATCATAACATAAATATATAAAGTCTGTATCCTCCTACTACAGAATATCATCCATCTGATATAGTGGCTCGATATCTGTATAACAATTCATCCCAGAAATCTAATTATGTCATTCAGTTTCTTACTGACCTGACACTAATAGAAGTCGGACTTAACTTTTAGTGCTAATCCGAACCTCATTCGAAATTAGGTAGGCTTAGTGTCTGAACCAATCCATACCTAGTAGCCACCGTCCCATACCGGTGCATACTATCCTCCAGTTTACTTAGTTGACAGAAATAGTAGAATTTACTATTAACACATTCCAAAACAATCATAAGTATAGTTTAACATGTGTGTCACTAAACCATGTCTCCACTGAAAATTTAGAATCCAAGTTTCAGTCTATTAAATTAATAAAACAGGTTTATGCAATTTTGCTTATCCAAACAGTACCCTGACTGGTGTACTTTATGTACAGATTTAAGCATCAGTTTAATCCAACTAAGCATATACATTATTGAATAAAAACATGCTTAAAACACAGTTGTAAAACAAAATCTAAAACTTAAGACCATGCAAAAGGATCAAATCTCCTCCAAACAGTGTCCTAACAGAGATATACAACAGATTTAATTGTCCGTTAATTCCAACCAAGCATACATATAATTCAATAACAGAATGCTTAAACCTTAGCTACACAACATAATTTTAAAACTTAGGGTCGTGTACAGGCATCAGATTTCTAAAACAGTCTGTACTTCAAATCAGTTGTTTAATCTTTCACATATAGCCCTTGTTTAAACTTATGTTAATTCTATCCTTTATTCCAGAATATAAGCTTGCTTCTCCATTATTTTATAAGTCCTAAGCAGTATATTACATCATTCAATAGCCTTTAAATAGTTTCAGAAACTCAGATTTAACCAAACAGACCATTTAAAACTTAGTATACGTGATATTTAAGAGAAAGAGAAGGTTCTGTGTTTCAGAGAGCCTTATCCAAAAAAGTAGAGCCTTCTCCTAATAAGTAGAGCCTTCTCCACTCAAGTAGAGCATTCTCCACTTCAAGAAGAACCTTCTCCATTTTAAGAAGAGCCTTCTCCACTTCAAGTATACGTCTGTTCTTCTTCTGTTGTCTTCTCCTACTCCGGTGGTTTCCAGTCATTGAACTTAGTTTTATTTCCCGTTTTTAGATCCCATCCACATCCCAGAGTAATCACAAGATAGAGTTATATAAACAAGAATTTAATTAAACATTAGTTTGTAATGCAACGACAATCAGTTTTCAAATAGAACTTGTAAACTACTGATAAACAGATTAAACTTAATGATGCTAGAAACTGTTTCAACATGTATAAACGATGTAATTAATTCTTACTTTAATTCCTGGAGTATAACTAAGCATGCACAGAACATAAATTCATGGGAAAGAGAAGAACATAAACTTGCCTTTTCAGAGTTGAAACACAAATTCCACGTCTCTGAGTTTTCCCTTGCTCTGCTTTGTTATGCCCCCTTGCTCAGTCTCTGTTTCTTAGCAGTCCCTTATGCTACAGACGTAAACTTATGTATTTCTAAAACCCTAAACCCCAGTAAGCGTATGTTTTTATAGACTTAGATATTAACCCTAATCCATGCATAACTCGGCCCATAGAACAATCTAGGTTAAAATACAATGGCGGCTGAGCTTAAACCTAATATAACTCTATGTGCCACCTTCCATACAGTTACGTGGAAAACAAAATTAACTGTAAATAAAACAATTCACTTTAAACAACTTTCAACAATTAAAGTAAACTCATTAAACCATTTAAGTTAAGTAAATTAAGTTAAGTCAATTTAAAACAACTAAAACAAACCAACTAAATAATTAATTTCAATTACAACAATTAAATAAAATTAAATAAATGAAATTAAAACAAGTAAGTAACTAAAACAATTAAATCAAACCAAAGAAATAATCAAAAGCAATTTTAAACAATAAATTATATACCAGGACTATCCTTTTGAAATTAGGGGTATTACAGGTTTATTCAGACCTTTGATGTAAGTATTCAATCTGTTAATTGAAGATACATCATATTTTATTTTTGCATAAAACTTGTCTCTATGTGATGAATCAAGATCTGTGAATGAAAATCTCTCGAAAAGTTTTTAAAACTAGCACGTTTCCCAACAGAAAATACTGCTGGAAATGAATTATAGCCTCACCCATTTCACAAAGAAAAGAAATCCCAGACAATGTTACATTTTTTCATTAAAAACAAAACACCAAATACAGGGAAAGAGAGAGGCATACTTCTCTGGGCCACAACACTCAACAAGAGTGAAAAAAAACACATTTCAAAATAAAATATAACAAAACATTAATATAAAAATCACATATAACACTAACAATCTATTGAAGCTCACTTCTTCATAGTAGTTCCATTTGACAAAAAAATATTAATGTTTTTTTTTTTTTTTTTAATAACAAAAATTCAATTAGTAAAGTGGCCATAGTCTAGATATATAATCACAAAATTGATCTTTTTTTACTCATGATGAAGTTGTTGTAGGTTATTAATAACTTTTACTAGAGTTATTGAATAAGTCAGCAAGGAGCTATGGGGGATAAAGGCTGGATGCACCTTGATGACAGGTTATTAGAATAACAAAAAGCTTTATCGATAAAAGCTAAAACATTAAACCTATTATTTTTTTAATAATTAAAAGTTGTAAGTGTTCAATTGTAGAGCTTCAGAAGAGTATATAAATGGAGCAAAAAGATTTATCGCTTCGGCTCGAGGTAATGCAAGGAATCAAGATACCATTTTATGCCCCTGTAAACTTTGTTTAAACTCACAATATCAACATTACCATAAGGTGTATGAGCATATAGTGGAAAAGGGAATGGATTCCAATTACACTGTATGGGTTTTTCATGGAGAGAAGAGGAGTACACAAGTAGTAAATAAAGGCAATCAAGATCGTATGGAAATACCTGAAACATATGAGATGTTCAGGGATGTATATTTTGGTGGTGAAGACAACGCTGCTACAGAGCATATTGAAGGAAGTAGAGAGGGTGAGTTTAGAGAGGCGTTGGAACATGCTGAAATTCCTTTATATACAGATTGCACGACATTTACAATTATATCAGCAACTGTTGCTTTATATAAGCATAAAACTGCTTTTAATCTATCTGACACCGGATATGATGAGCTTTTTAAAATTCTTCGTGTTATGCTTCCACCAGATAACCAGCTTCCTAAAGGAATGTATGAGACAAAGAAGCTATTAAAGACATTTGATTTAGGGTATGAAAAAATACATGCTTGCATTAATGATTGTTGTTTGCTTGTAATTTTGTTTAACTGGATTTCACCTCTACCATCACGCTAATACAAAAGACTCCATGTACTTTAAATTCATATATCATTTCCAAAATTCTGCAATAGAGAAATATTTGTCAACCTTAATAAATTGATTAACATAATTAAATAAAAAGTGATACTTTACAATCTAATAAGTAGTTACCTCATGAAAATCATTAAAATCAAAACCAGAAGCATCATTTGAACTGGAAGCATGCTTTTTTCTTTGTCATACATGAAAGATTATATAGAATAGTAAATTTTGAAATTCATGTAAATAATGTACATATATAAAGTGATCAATATTCAACTTACTAACGTTACCTTGTATCCCTTGTGAGGCAGTCACATGCTTCGTAACCCTACTAAGCCTTTTTGGCCTATCTAGAAATGATTGAATTCTTTGTGGGCGCCCTTTATGCCTCACAATCGAAGGATCAAGTAACCTTCTATGATTATCAACATTATTGGAAACTGTAGAACCATTTTTTGTCATATCAGATTCAACATGGCTAATTGCGAGTGCATTCCTTGCAACATCAATTTCATTTGACAACTTCCTCAAACCATTCATAGCCAAGTTGTATATTTCCTTATGCATAGCACTTTTTTCGGCAATGCTTGAAAACTCACGACAAAGACTGCTATACCGAAGTGTCACAGGCGCATGACAATCAGCTTGCATTTGTTCACCTATCTCATCCACCATAGGCCCAGACTTTGCATCTTTTGTCCACCTTTTTAATATGTATTGTGTTGGAACATTTCAAATATTCATGATAACAAACACCTTTAGGATATGTCGGCATAAGTATCCTGCAAATTCAAAAAGTTGACATGTACATTTTACATTAATAGACATGGCAGAATTATCAAAATTGACAATATGTCCAACATCTTTTCGATTTCCTCTCCATACAAGAAAATTTGTTCTATCCATATTCGCAGTCATTTCATGATTGTAATTGAGACCTGATAGTAACTTATCTTGAAACATTCTAAAGATTGCTCTTGTATAAACTTTAGATGCATTTTCTTCAATGTCCATTTCAATCCTTAAAAAAAGCCTCTTATAGAGTGTCTCAAAATCTTCATCATTTTCCATTTCCCTCTTATGTACGACAGCTTTTTCATATTATTTTACAAATTCACATAATGGCATATCCTTCTTCAAGTACCCATCAAAGTAGGCATTTATACTTTCACTACGTTGTGTTGTGTACATAGATGCATAGAAGACATTATGTGTATAAACAGCTGCCCATTTTTCCTTTTTCCCGTATAATCCCATCAACCATTTATTATCTCTCAAGCCATACTTCTCCAACATTCCATCCCATGTAAACTCAAAATCTTCTATGGATTCACATCCATACAAGCAATTATTGAAATCACTCTTAAATCCATTATGTGCATTGTATATACTGCCCAAATTTTTTGTAGCATTTCTTGTGATATGCCAAAGACAAAAACGATGTCGAGTTCCAGGTAGTGCACGTGATATTGCCCCAGCAATTGCAGACTCTTGGTCAGTAAGAATCACTTTAGGTTTTTTTTCATTCATCGCTTTCATTCATGTTAAAATTACCCAAAAAAAAGATTCCTCGGTTTCATCAAAAAGAAATGCACCACCAAATAACACTATTTGATAATGATGATTAACCCCTACAATAGGGACAAATGGCATACCATACCTATTTGTCCCATATGTTGGATCAAAGCAAACAACATTCCCAAAATAGTGATAGTCCATTCGTGATCTAGAATCTGCCCAAAAAAAATTAGTCTTCCCATCCTCTGAATCAACTTGAATTGAATAATAGAACGACCGATTATTAGTTTGTTGATTTTCTAGAAAATCAAGAACCGATTGCACATCTCCATTTTGAATCTCTGCTATTCGTTTAATACCTAAAAAGTTTCTTGCATCTTTTGAGGTAAAACCAATATTATGATATCCACCAGCTTCAACGGCCAAAAAATTCATCATCAAATTTGTCCTTACACCTGATTCACGCATATTTGATAACATTTGACCATGAGCTTCTTTTACCTTCCTATGCGATGGCAACTTATGTTTTTTACTTAGAGTTACAAGAGAGTGATTTACGCATTACCCTTCTTGGCAAATGGAAATACATCAATACACTCCAACATTTATATTATGCTATTACCGCTGTTGTACCTGAAGCAAAAGTTTTATGCCTGCAACTCACTGTTTAGTCTTTAGTTGCATCTTATTTGGTCTTGTTTGGAGAAGTTTACTATTAATTTGTTTTGGTAAGAAAATTTATTATTTACCAAATTCCTAGAATCAAAAAATAAATAAAACATTGAGATAGTTCCGCATAATAAAAATAATGACAGTGAATGTCAGAATATATATATATATATATAGCAAGTTCTTTATCTATGTGAATCAAGTCAAGGAATCATGCCATGTGGGTTTAAAGGCTTTACATGAATTTTTTATGTTACAACATTATTAAGTAGTTCAAAATCATCAAATATGTTTCGATTTTTACCACGACCAAAATTCAAGCTACATATACTAGCTATGTTTGTTCTTTTATTTTATTTTATTTTTTTACGATGTGGGAACTCTCTGCCCTTTGGACTTGTAAACCCCGGACTAGAGTAACAAGTAAGTCGAGAACTTGCAGTGCTACAAGAGAATCGAACTGACATCCATATACTAAATTTGGTGGTCTAGCACTTAGAGGTCCCCCTCCCACCAACTCTGCTAGCGTCCAGTGTTAAAATGATGTACAAATAAATGAAATAGATATTTTTGGTGAAAAGAGAAAATATGAAGATGGAAAGGAGGAGTCAACGAGTTTAATGGTTGGTGAAAAGTAATCTCTTTTTTATTTTTTCTCTGACTTGAAAGGTAATAATAAATATAGATGGGCATTTGATCTTTGAAATTTTGAAATAAAAAATAATATATATAATAAGGATAGAAATGTAATTACACAATAATAGTTAACACCATATAATAAGGACAAAAATGTAATTACACAATAATAATTAACACCATTCAATCTACGGTTATGACAGGGGAAGTCCGTGTAATTTGACAAACAAACGTAAATCTTATACTGACCAAATTTCAAGGAATTTACACTAAAAATAAACTTTAAACAAGTTTAGTACTTCCTTCAAATCTGCATTTCAACCCCTACGTGTTATTAATGTTTAATAAAAATTATAAATACTATTAAATAAATAAAACTATCCATTTATTGATGGCCAAAAGAAAGATTGCAGTCCCACCCTTATAAAAGGTCTCCACCATCTCTCACGTATACCAACACTTGAAAATAAAAAGGATAAAAAATAAAAAAATTCTCTCACTCACTCTCCTCCAATCTTACTTTAATTTTATTAGATTTGCATATATCCAACTACTTTAAATATCATTTCGAGACAATTTGACGTACGATTGGTATACTTTATTCTTTTTGTTAAAATAAATCATAGGTAAGGTTTGTATTTCAAAGCCTTCTGCTTTTGTGAATGCCAGCAAAAGAACCTAGCCACAGTACAAGAAGACAGACCAAAACTAGCAAAAAGAACACCTCTCATCGTCCACATCAAGTGAAGGAGAGAATAGCTCTTTCCTGAGGGTCAATCTACAAAAGCAGATATTTCTTTCTAATTCAACCTCCGACAATGATGAAAACTACAGTCGCTGAACCCGAAAAAGCATGCCAGTTAGCATACAGTTGAACTATTTCTAAACTTCGTAATTGAGAAAGGATAATCTCCAAACAAGAATTAGGTACCATTTCAGTAGAAAGAAGTGTACAAGAAGAAATGTACCAACGGGCCAGTGACCTAACAGTATTAACCTCTTACTTTTCAAAAATAGATCAGAGGTTGACGATAAAGAACAGACGTGTGCGTGAGTACCACTTAGGAAAAAAAAATACAAGAAGAAATGTATAACCTTTTTTCATAGAGCCGTTCATCAACTTTAAAGATCAATAGGTACATGATGGAGAAATTAGTACCATTATAAAAATAAAAAAAATGATTTCTCAATGAGGAAAACTGTCCGATAGAAGATATAACATGATCAATGAGCCAAAAGGTTGTAATGGTTCTTCTCTTTCTTCTTTGCCGCGGCAAGCTTTGCACTTCTTGCAGCAGCCTCCGTAGCAGCAGTTTTTGCAGCAGCATATATCATAGATGCCATCTTCTTTAGCCGCTCTTTTACATCAACCGTAGATGCATCTTCTTCTGCTTGCTCGGTCCCAGCAGCATTCACTGGTCCATTAGTTGCATCTGAGCTGTTGGTCTGATCATATGATTCCTTCACCTCCTTGGAAGATTTATCCTTCTTTTTCTTTTTCTTTGCGGTTTTGGACTCTGCAGGGGCATTTTCTTTCTTCGCCGTATCTCGATCTCTATCTCAGTTTGGTACCCCTTCTTGCTTCTCTTTTGCAGCATATGCAAGTGCAACCAAAGGAAGATGATCTTAGAGTTTAGACAAACACTCTCAATATATGAATTACAAATATGGTAGAAATTAAAACTTTTCCAACTGAAAACACACCACAAAATTAATATCAAATTTTCAAATGGTCAACAAGAATTGCTAACAAGGAATACATAAATTTGTAGCCCCATTTTCAATTAGTAAATATGACAACACACGATAGCAATCCTTTTTCTTGACTAAAGAATTTTCTGTATCGGACAAAACAGTTTTGTCTTCAAGCTTCCATATACTCGCGATGCACTTAGTCTCTGACGAGTGACGACCTTTTACTAAATCTTCATGTGCCAAACAAATTTATAGCAATATCACAAGAGAATCATACAGTAAAAAACTACTTCATAGTTCAGAGGGAAGTGCCATTTAATGATTAAGACCATTACCAATTTGAAGATAGCATGAAGAAGAAGAAGTGATAGAATTACAATATTCACTGCAATCTGGGGGATTAAAAGGTGTGGGAGGTGGATCATGGATGCATGGGTGAAAGGGTGCTGACATGGTTTTGTGTGCATGTGAGAGTTAGAAACATCATTTTCGTCCAAATTACAAGGACTTAATATGGAACCGAGTACGTGTATCAAGGACTAGCGTGTGACCAAGTCTCCGACTTCCTTGAATCCCCAATCCAAGGATTTAGAAACTTGACTTCAAATGTGTCTAGAAGTTAACTATGGATACATAGACCCCTCCTACACATTTAAATATATTACACGATATAATTGTGTAATGTATGTTAATATTGTTCTTCAATGAACCCCTTCAATAGAACAGAATTTCCAACTTGCTATGACTATCAATTATTCTTTTTGTACCAAAAAGTCTACCAGCCATTGCACTAATAGGACTGTAGTCATAAATTTTTTTTTTCCCTAGTTGGTACTTACACACACATGCCTCCGTGGAGGCTCAAATCCCTGACCTCTCTTTGGGAAGTAGGGCCCTGGTACCGCTAGGCCTTGGTTAAAGAGCTTTGGCAAGAGAAGCTTCAACTTCTTGGGGAACTGGTAAAGAGCTTTGGTAAGAGAAACTTCAACTTCTTGGGCCTGGGCTTTCGAGAAAACGGAAGCAAATGCTTTTGGATGGTCAGTTTAGGCATCTCCGAAAGTGGCTGAGGGACATAAAGGCATTCGAGCAGTGTCTAAATTAAATTAAGGGTAGATACAGTATCCCTCCCAGCTATGGTAATGAAAAAAAGCGGTTTCCATAAAACAACAACAAAGTCTTTCTTTCAAATACTTGGAGTCGGTTACATAATTCTATTTTTCCTTTCTGTTCTATAGAAGGTCATAGCCTCAACCAAACCATATGTTATCATATCCTTACTAACACTACCCACGTTAAGAAAAAATGAGTTTTCATCTATCAAAAAGTGTAAAGAACATTTTTTTCCTATAACATTTGAGCTATTAGTTCTTCCTCCATCATTGGATGTATAGTATCAGGATGCCAGCTTTAGGTTCATGTATCTAATAGATATCCCCCATGTCATGTTGTTTCGACACGGATACATCAAGGAGAATCTATGTAATACGGATTTGCATATTACTAAACAGATGTGGGATAGAAATAGATCATCAGAAATAAATAAATAAATACTCCCAAAAAAGCCGTCTTTCTGCCTCTTTAGGTGCGTAAGAAACTTCAGCGGCCTTCTTTACCACTGACTCAGGGATGTACTGTAACATCTGGTTCCGGTCATGCTCTTCCTCCACATCATCACCACCTTCATCAAGAATATCTTCTCCACTTCCAATTTCCTGCAATTCCAAAAAACAAGGATTGTGTCGACATAAATCGAAAGTACATGGGACAGCATCAGGACAATGTTAGTTATTTGTCAGCCATTTACAAGAATCCGGCATTTGAACTGATTTGCCAAAAAAAAAAAAAAAAAAGATGATGAAGAAGAAGGTATTTGCATAATCAATACTTCGTAATCTTAACGAGCAAATATAAAATGAAAAGCAATGTTTCCATGTATTCCTCTTGCATAATCTGGCATGGAGTGCCATCAACATGTACCTATAAACTTGAAAGGTAAATCGTATAAAATATTTATTAGACCAACCGTATTTTATTAGATAAAATGTTGGACGACCATAAAACAAGATATGATACTCGTTAAAATTAATTTAGCCAAAGCAAAAATTGAGATGACTGTGTGGCAAGACAAGAAGAAATTAAAAACGAACATGTTCATTAAACAACTGAAGTAGTACTGTTAGATGTAAAATGACAGAATCCATTTAAATAGTTTGACTACATGAAATGAAGACCAATAACAACAAAACTAAGGAAGAGAGAGGTGATTCATGTAAACGGTGATTTCAGTTTACCAATTTCTTAGTGTGACATCTTAATTTTAAAAATTTACTTATTTTTTTTACCTTAAAACAGAATTAATAAATAGGTACCACTAGTATTGCATACATAACCAGCTAATGATAGATGAAAACAAGCAACAAATACATTACTAGAAGAGGACTTTAACATACATATTTATTAATCAGCAATGGAAATGGTATAACAGTATAAATTCCTTAAGGCACATGTGTAATCATGAGTATGTTACTCCTGGACAACTCAACGAACTGTCATAAAATTAACATTAAAAAACCAACCAATAGACAAACCAGAAAGCTGACATTTCAACAAAATTTTCGTCTTCAAATGTTACCAGATTCAAAGGCAAACAACATATGACCTCCATCAAAAGAAGAAACTATATATAATGTATATTAGTTGACAATGGATAAAAGAAACTCATATTCTCACCTCTTCAGGACCTGGCTTCTCCTCAACATGCTGAGCTCCCGACAAACCCCAAACAGATTGAGGAGGAGCCATGGTTGTATAATAATCGTCATCGTCCTCATCATCAACATCTGCCCACAATTTCACCTTCAGTGGTGCTAGGGCCCAGAAAACCTGCTTCTCTGGTTCCTCGCTTGGTGTAACGGGTGGGCGCTTGCCCATTTACACAAAAGCTCGAACTGTTGGGTAGTGCTGCATACCCACCCATTTATACCCATGTCACTTCCCATCCGGATCCGATATGGGACAAGTTTCCCCTTGTAACACTTGGGCATTTGAAGAACTATTGTTCTTTGACTTACCAGTTTTCTTCTTCTTCCTAAGACTCTCAAGCGCTGAAAACACATTGTTATTGTTGATCACCAACGATCCATCGTCCCTCCTGTTACCACCTCCCATTATTTCTCCCCTAATCCCAATCACGCCAGAGATTTCTGAAAGATTGTACACAAAGTATTTCATTAATCATTAAATTCAAATTTTTAATGATTTGTTATCATCAAAATATTTCATGTACCCTTGGTTTGCAACATTGGGTCAACAAGATAGATACAAATCAGTGTTGTGTTTTGGAAGCCACTACTAGGCAAATTTGCTGAATAATAAAGTTTGACGGCACTAAAAGGACTGACTTTGGAGCAGTGAAAAATGCATGGAAAGGTTCAAAGGCTCCGGCCATTTGATATGATAACTGAAGTCATGACTAGAAGGCATTATTTAGGACAGGGCAACATTTTTTTAAGGAGTAACGTGAAGCACTGAAAATGACATGAGAAACTTAATAGGCTATGTCCATTTGCAACGATATTTAAAAGTTGACTGTATTGAAAATGCATCTTTATATTAGTAGTCTCATCTATTTTCACCTTTTTGTCCTTTGTTGACTGTATTGAGAGGCCTTTATAGCAAACACTGAAGAAGTAAAAGAATGTAATTCTGTTTTATGCTCTAAACCAGCCCAAAACTAGCCAACAAACGTTTGACGAATTTAATTTGATGGTAACCAACAAACAAAAATGATATGTAATTTATTTATTTTGAGTGGGTGATTAATATCCACATGCATTGAGGCAAGAAGTTCCCAAATCGTATTGAGCTAGAAGTTCATAATATTTTACAATTTATCACAATAGAAAAATTAACAAGTCTACATGAATCCTATTTTTCCATACCATTCAATCTGACGCCATAACATTAGTCAAAGCATATGTTAGTATGTCTTTCTTTAATAACTCTACCCATGTTAATTTTTCTCTTCCCCTACCCCTAGAATTATCCTTGATGTGGACTAGTTAAGCACAGTCTATACGACTCAAATTTCATCAGTGACAATACGTTGTGTCAGTCATTTAAAAGAAAATAAGCTAGGCAGGAGAGAATTGGTCAATTAAGATCTCTTGCTCTAATCTAATGCAGGTTTTCATGTTGGTTGGTTGAGCTTGGAAACCATAGAAATACCGAGGTAAAATTGTCAGAAATTAGTACAGCCACTATATTCACAAGAACTGCCCCGAGTGGCAATGACATTTTGATTATAATATTCTTTACATCTACAAAACAAATATATAAAAGGTAATCTTAAATGGATACAAACTAGATTTTATAAAGTACAGAAGACCTCCTTGAATTTTTAACCATAGCTGCTAAATGAAAATGCAAGAAAAAAAATAGAAGAAATACTAGGACAGGATATAAAGTCAACTGGGTTCTTGGTGCTCTGCGGGTCTGCCTTTGTTCAAAACCTCCTTAATTGGGATTCAGCTTCGTACATGAAAGGATAGTATGTTGCTGCACATGTTGGACGGAAAAAATGCTGAAATCACATATTTATTTATTTTTTTGGTTTTAAGGGCTTTTCAATAAAATGAAAATCTATATATGAATCACCAATGCTACATTATTTAAAGCTTAGGGGAAAAAAATGCTACATTCTGTAGCTGAGAAAATGTCCCCCGGAAAAAACAAATAAAATAATATAATAAATTGATCCTATATTAACTTTTTGGGACTTCAAAACTGAGACCTCCATTTGATTATGCTCAATTGTATCCATCATCAGCTTCTTTTTTCAGTTTTTTGCAACAATCAATTAACAGGAAACCTAAAGGTAAGGAGTTGCCACAATAGTGACCATGTGATTGGATGACTTACTGCTATGTTGCAAGTGATTTAGGATATTATAGTTTAAATCTCCCACCTGTCTCCTTCAAAATTGGCTCATGCCAACCTAACAAGCTGACTCCAAGAAAAATTTAAAATTTTTTTTTTTCCTGAATCAAGAAAAATTTGAAATTACATATATAACACTAAATTTTCTCACAAGGCTTAGAAATTTTCCCTTAATTGTATTGACGGAAATAAATTAAATTTTTCATAAAACTTAAAAAAGAATCCCAGAGAAAAAATTATCTAGTACATAAAAAATACTTCGTCATAGTCAAATTTGAATCAGATCAAATCACTAAAATCGATTTTGATTCAATTATAATAGAATTTGGAGGTTTGAATACGGATTCGAACCATAGGATATGATTCAAATATGTAACCGAATTTTAATTGAGCAAGATTCTTATTAGGAATGAGTTATTCGACAATGAAGTTGTTTGAGTTATCATGATAGAGAGTACCTATTGTGTAATACCCCGTATTTTATTAAAGAGTTTAGTTTATTTAAATTCATTTATGTGTGGATTTCTTTACCTATTATTGTGCATGCTACATTATTATATTAGGTTCATTTAATGGTGCATGTAAATTAATTGTGCATGTTAAAATAGTAAATTTGTTCATTTAAATTGTGGATGTATTCTTATTTTATATTTTTATTGGTAAGGTTTATATTAAGCAATATTAGTTAATTAAAGTATTATATTTATATTGTAAAGTATAATTATGATTGTAATGTATTCTTAATAAACTAATAATAATAATAATAATAATAATTATTATTATTATTATAATAATAATAATATTATTACTAAATCAATGTAATGATGAAAAATTAAATCTTAGGATAGGATTTCATTCCCATAGTTGAACCTTAGGACATTTTGCTTGACTTGGCTTGCTTGGCTTAAATGTTATAGGTAGGAATGTGAGGAATGGGTGAGAAGTTAATGTAAATTTAGATATTTGTATTATATATATTATATAAGTTTGTATATATATATTAGTTAGCCAACTTACCCTTAAGGCAACTCACTTAAGTTAGAAAGCTTAAAAATTACAGAGAGCTATTTTATAAGAGTGAAAGGAAAAAAGAGAGAGAAAGAAGTTTGGACCGATGTAGGCGAATTTACCCGACTACGCGCAACCGGCGGATTTATTTTAAATCCAAAAAGGCAAGTTATTATCTACTTTTCCCCTTTGAGTTAATAAATTAATTGTTTAGTTTATTTTTATGCATAGAGCCTAGTTTAGGAGGTTAATAAATTATTAATTTTAGTTTATTAAATTAATGAAATTTTAATTATATAGGACGGTATATATTTATTTAGTATCCTATGAAATTAATAATGGCTGAAAATAATTAAATAAGGTTTTAGGGATTTTTCTAGAATTTTCTAGATTTTTCCGGGGCTTTTCTGCAATTTCCGGCGACCTTCCGGCGAGTTTTCCGGTCGCCGGCAATGGGGGAGATGACCGGAGTGATCCGGTGTGATGCGGCGCACCATAGGAGGGTATGCGCGCGCATCTGGGCCATTAACAGGAGCGATTGATCCGGTGCACCGCGGTCCATGTTACCGCGGTACACCCGGATCTGTGAGCGTTGGATGGAGGGAAGATAGGTGGATTGATCCGGTGTGGCGCGCATGTAGGAAAGATGATGCAGCCAACCAACTGGAGGACGCCGCGTCAGCAAGAAGCCATCAACGCGCGCGTGGAAGCGCGTGCGCTAGCGTGGAACCCTCCAGACGCGCGTACAAGCGCGTGGGAGAGTGGGGAAGGTTGGGCTGCGCGTGGGGGAGCTTAGGGCGGCGCGTGGGGGCGCGTGAAGGGCCCTGTCAGCTGCTGGAAGTTACCAGAATACCCCTAGGGCCTGTTTTGTAAATTCCAGAACCTTAAACTTGGATTTTTAGGTACTGTGTTGGTATTTACGGGTTTAACGGACCACGAAATTATTATTTTAATACCCGTTACTTATTCTTATAGCCGATTAATCTTTTCTAAGCATGTATTGGCTCGTTTACAGTACGGATATTAATGTGATTTATTTAATGACATTGTTAAATATAAATAGTGTTATTATCTTATTAAATGGTATCAAACATTACTGTTAAATTAAATAATGCCATGGTTTTAGTCATATAAATTATCCATGATATCTTGTGGGATGTTTATACTGTCAAATGATATATAAATCATGATTATTATGCGGTGTACATTTCAGGAAATAAATGGACTGTTTAATTATGTCGCATTTATATTATATGGATGTGTTGTCATATAGAACCATGTGAGCTGGCTAATAAGTTTAGACTCATTTATATCTTATGCATTCGTTGCGATAGACAGATGTGTGGCTGTCGGGGTATGTGGTTTAATATTATTGGCATGTGTTGCCTAATTGACATACTCGGTATATTTATTAATATTGTTGGCATGTGTTGCCTAATTGATATGCTTAGTAACTCATTAGTACATTAAGATGCGTTACTACTGTGTAGTCTTTACAGTTGGTGTTGTCAGTACCGTGCACCATGTATAATAGCTGATTTCCCGGGTAAGGAAAGGCGACACTTAACCACCTAGAGTGAGTCTAAGTGATCACCGTCTATTCTGGTTGAGGTCATATTATACATTGGGTAGTTCCCTTAGGATGTATACAGATATAGTACTCGTCCGATTCATAATGATTAATTTATTTGATTCTCTGATTTGGGTCATAGTAGAGAGGACTTGCTCGTGGGGTTGACCCACCATTGTTGTTATTTCAGGATACGGTCAGTACCCGTTCCAAGGTTGAGGTTAGCAGTGTGGGACCACCATCCGAACTCATCTACTCTTACGATCCAGTTCAGGGTAGAAGTTTTACGTATTACTTCAGTTTCAGTTTTTATTTACTTTTGACGTTGAACTCTCAGGTTTATATTTAGGGATCCTTGACATAGAATTTCCAAGTTGTAATAGAGTTACTATATTTAAATAAAGGATGGATGGATGTTGTACTATTTAGTGTTCCTTTCCTATCTAAATTCTTTTATTATCATCATTTTGTATTCCATGCTTGTATATTGCCAATTGTTTTTGATATCCCTCGTTTTTCGTGTATAAGCCTGATCAACTTATGCGTGGAAAATGTTGGGGGTGTCACAGTTGGTATCAGAGCATTTTAGGTTCGAGTATCTTAGGGATCTGTGATTACTATACTTCCGCGTTGTGTATTCTGATAATTAGAGCCTAAGTATTAGGGTTCTTTGTATTCTTTTAGTCGGTCCATTATAATGCACTGACGTTAGATTTTTCTGAAT